TGAGAATAAGTGACTGGTGCAGAGTGAGGTTTTGTTCTGTAATTGAAGCAAGCAATGTGATCCTGCCAAGTTCAGCGCTCTCTAATTGGCTTTCACAGGATGTCTCCCGTGCCAAGCTAGCAGCAATAATTCCAGACCCTGTGGTTGCACCTTCTATCGTGCCTGTCCTTAAGGATGAAGTCGACAGGAAACCTGAATATCCCAAACCAGACACTCAGCAGATGATTCCATTTCAGCCAAGGCACTTAGCACGTAAGTCAGGCTTTGGGAAGTGCTTGTGTTTCACCTGTGGCGAGTTAGGAGCCTGGGTGTTCAGCCAGCCTAATCAGAGGCTTTCCTACTCCTCAGTCACCTAAACCTGTACTTAACTCCTAGGCTGTCATTTCACTGGGTTGCTAAAGGCATGGGTGTTTTAATTAATGCCGAGGTCACTTGGAAAGAAGTACAAGGAGTTTGGGGTCTGGTAAATGGTAATAAAACTGCTCACAGGGCAGATGGCTGCGTGTACAATATGGAATTAGCAGAGGCAAAGGGAACAGGGTACTAATTACTTGTATCAAATAACAATGCAGTGCAAAAGCAGCTCTGGTCCAGCTGTCTTGCACTGGCTTCACCCAGCTTTTCTCCCCACAGCTCCAGGTTTACATCCTGTCCCAGGCGGGGTATTTCCTGTTCCACCAGCAGCTGTCGTTCTCATGAAGCTCCTGCCACCTCCTATTTGTTTTCAGGTTTGTTTTAAAGAACTCTGAACATTTCAGAAAGCTGTGGAAGACATTGTCATGACAGAACCACAGTGTGTATCACTCTATTGAAAATAACCTTCTAAACTTTTTTTTTTTCCCCTTGGTAACAAATCAGGGTCCCTTTGTTCAAGTGGATGAGCTCATGGAGATATTCAGAAGATGCAAACTGCCAGACAGTAAGTCACTTGTCCTCTCTGGAGGCTGTGCTAGTGCTGCATAAGACTTGGGTTTACATATGGATATTGCTGTCTAAAACCCAGACCTCATTTACAGATTGTAATTAGTGTCTAAGAGCAGAGGAGATTGGGCTGGAATCTGCATAGAGATGTTTGCACATTTACCTGAAGGGAGGTAACAAAAAGTCAAAAAATTGCAAATCATCAGCTGTTCTTTTAATATGTTGGTGGTATCAGTTGAAAGAAAGAAATGAAGAGTTTGAGAATACCCTTTATAAAGGCAGCATTTCCAGCAGAATTGCAGCTGTAACATTTAGTTACAAATTTGCAGAATGCTGAGGTCATTGGTGGGATAACTCTGAGTGCAGGTTGCTGCAGTGCCTGGGCACAAGCTGCAGGCAGAGCTTTCTGAGCTCCTGCAAAGAAGGGAAGGAGAGTTCTGGAACAGAGAAACAGCACAGATCCTTCCAGCAGATGATAATATGCTACTCTTCACCCCCCTGGTTAAAGGAAAAAATGATCACAGAGAAAGAAATGTAGGATTTAATTTCTTTGAGTGAAACTAAAATATCTATTTAAATTACACAGGGTATTTTTGAGGCTTCCTCTGTTGAGAAGCAGAAACTGACTTGCTCTGCAGCCTTTCTGGTGAATCATGAACTAGTTACCCTGATTCCCAAAAGGCCTTCCTGTTTTATTAAAGCTCTCAAATGACCTAAATTCCTGTGTAAAGGGAGGGCTCCAGCTGGAGCAGCAGCATTTCCTTTATAATTGGTGTTCACCACAGCTCAGAGTTTGTAGAACAGGGCAGGAAAAGTGTCTTATGCTGCAGAAGTGTCCCCGAGGTGTCTCTGGGTGTCCCTGCTGGGGTGCTGGTTGCTGGTCAGGGGTGTGAGTGTCACCCACTGAGTGGTTCTGTGTCTCTTTGTGAAGCTGTTGATGAAGCTGTACGGATAATCACGGGCGGCCTGCCTGAAATAGCTGTGGAAGGCAATGGACCTGTGGAAAACAACACCATTCTCAACAAGGCTGTGAAGAGATCACACGAGGATTCTGATGATGATGAGGAGAAAGGATCTGTAGTTCCCCCTGTACATGACATTTACAGAGCACGGCAGCAAAAGAGAATCCGGTGAAACAAGTTTGGAGTTCTGCTGTGACAGACAAAGACTTGCATTGAATCAGTCTCTTAAAAGTCAAGCATTTAAAAGGGACAGCTGCAAACAAAAAAATCCTTGAAAATGGCTTTGTTACTGTGGTGCCTCTTCTCCCATGTGGTTCTTGATCTGAAAACAGCCCGAACAACCTTAGAATGTGCTCTGAACAAAACTCGGTTTTCAAAACCAAAAGTGCAAAATGTCAAAACTGTATTTTGTTCTTCGAGGGTGTACACATCTACCACTTGAACTCTTGTGGGTTTTCAACAGTTTTATTTTAAAAACTGGATGGCTTATACTTGTGAAGCATTTTTAATTCACATTTTCTGGAAAACAGTTGTTCTCAGTTTGTTCATGTAGTGTCCTGCCTTATTGTTCGTTTTTATTTATGGCAGAATGTAAGGAATCTGTTTTGTAGTTGAAAATTTAAAAAAAGAAAAAAACCAACAAAAAAACATTCCTTTAAAATAAAAGGATATCCATAACATCATGCCTCATTCTCATTTTATTCAAACACAACAAGGTACTTCTTAAATATTACTCAGCCACTTCAAAAGCAATGCTAATTATACCGCCACAGGAAATGGATCAGAGCATACATATTAGAATGAGCTTGGTTTCCATTTTCTAGAGGATACAGCACACTTTGGCTTGTAATTCCAGGACTGTTTGAAGACAGCCTTGTGAGACTAACTCAGTTCAGTGTGGCCAGTCCAGGAGCACTGGCTCACACAGCCTGGTCCTGGATCCCTGCACTGGTCTTCCATGTAGTGTACAAAGCTAAATGTTAATAATCAGCTACATCATTGCACTTGTTATCTTCAAACAAGCTTAAAAAAACACTATGTGAGCTTTCCAAGCAGTTTCTATGTGTACTTCAGCTTTTCACTTGGAATTGGCTGTTTGGAATTGCACTCTGATAAGATCCTAAGAACCCCTTGGACTACGGGACAGTCAGAGCCTGGGGCAAATGAAAGTCATTCCCACTCAGGCAGGGCTCCTCTCTGCCAAGGCAAAGGGTGAAGCAGCACCTGCACATGGAGATGGGGTGGCCCCAGCCATCCTGGAATGTCCTCCTTGTTCTGCCACTCAATTTCATCTCCCTGTTTCTTTTAGAGAGGATGTAGAGGAAATGTTTGTCAAACACTCCCGTTAAGAACAACCTGGGAGAATCATTACCATGCTTTTATTGCAGTTCCTTTAGCTCTTTCCTGTTGAACGGTCCCCAGCACCTGTGCCAGGAGAATTTCTTCCTTCTGTGTGGGCCCTGGAGGTGAGAGTGGAGCCACAGGTGAGTACTGCACTCTGTTGCCTCATTCTAGGATTTTTCTGCTATGTGAAGGCTTGGGATCAAACCCATCCCGAGGAGAGGTGGGATTCCCTGCATGGACCCTGCAGGCAATACAAGCACTGGTGGCAGCACAGTCCCTGCTGCCATGGCAGGAGCAGGCCCTCCTGAATCCTGAATCCCAGCCCTGGGAGCAGCCCTCTCCTCAGTGAGGATTTTGTCCACTGCTAAAGCAGTGCCCTTCACTCTGCCATCAGTCACACACCTTTCAAGGGCTTTTCTAGGTACCTGTCTCACCATTATGTTCCTCCTCACACCCTGAACTCATCTAACTCTTGTCAGTGAAATTGCCTCTAAAGGCAGCTCCTAGGCGGTGCTGAAAGATAAATAAACAGCAGCAATTTGTAACTTGTGCAGCTGTCATTTACCAAAGCTGAAGGCAGCTTTGCCTTGGTTATCTGTGCTGGTGCTGTCCCCAGCAGTGATGGCTCTGGTGGCTCATTCAGCACAGGCTGAGGAGTTGGTGCAGCTGCAGAGCTCGGGGCTGTGTTGGAGGCACAGCCTCCTCTCAGAGCAAAGCCCAGCAGGCTGAGGCAGCAGCCTTGAAGATCTTTGTAGAATCCTTCACTGATCCCAACAATGAAACAGACCCTACTCAGAACCCTTTTCTCTGGCTAACCAACCTCACTTTTGAGTTCTCCTAGAAGGATTCAAAGACATTCATTTTGCTGGCTGAGTGCATTTGGCCAAGAGAAAAATCACTTGTCTGAGCTGATGAAGTCTCCCAGGATTTTGCTGGGTTTTTCCCTTCAGGAAAGGGGTTTGTAATGAATGAGAAAAGATTTGGTTTAGAGTTGCATAGGCTAATATAGAAAATAAGGTCTTATTTCTCCTATCCCCTTCCAAACACAAAGTTGGTGCAGCTTTATCCACACTGATAATCAAAGGAAACTGGAAAGGGAGGCATCAACAGTGGATCATAATTAAGTGCTTCTCCAAGTTCTGTTGCTTTGGCTGATTTCTAAATTAACCTGGCTGTTGGCAATACAAGGACCCCTTTGTTTATCTATTTCACATACCTCGTTGGTTGTTTTTTAAAGACAGCACGCTCTGGTTTGGACAACCTCATACTTGGGCCACTTACTGTGTGTAACTACAAACTTTGCTTTCATAAAGCCATCAAATATTGATTACTGTAATACACTGTTGTGCTCAACCAGAGGAAAATTTCACTTACCTCCCAAGCTGAGCCTGAGATTGCAATGTGAGATCAGTGAGCTCTTCTCCTCTATACAACACATAGCTCATTAAATTCAAGACCTACAAATATTCTAAGTTTCAAAAACACCTCTACAAAGTGAAAAAATCTACTAAAATATTCCCTGTATATTCAAACTAACATCAAACCATTCATCTCTCAAAGTACATTAAAATCCCTTATAATGCCCACAGTGCTCTACACTTCCTGGATATTTTTGAAGACATGACTGAATATGCAACCATCTTCTGTTATAGTTTTTAAAAAAACCCCAAATTTTCAGCCTAAAGTTTCACACACTTTAAATCCACCGTCTGCAAATGACAATTTACTTTAAAATTAGTATTTCACCTAGAAAGGAGTAAATTACTAGGAAAAAAAGGTAAGAAATGCCACTTTTATCAAAACATTTTAGCTCTGCCCTTTCTGAAATCTTTACAAGATATAAATACAGCTGCAATCTATAAGATTGCCACCTCTGGGAGTACTGTACATAGCAGAGGACAGTTACCCAATAACCAGAAATTTTGCTACAAAAATATATTATATTTTGTAACATCTGCAGGTAAACAGCAAAAAAATGCTATTAAAAATGCAGTAAAATACAGAAAAAACTAGGAAGCCTACCATACTCACCATAATGTTACAGTAAAGTGCTGCTTGGCTTGGTGGTTTTTTTGGCAAAGTTCTTTAGAATTTTAGCTTTATTAATTCTTTAGATTTTTTTAAAATTCCAAATCACCTCTTCTGGGAAGAACCATTGCTAATCAGCTCTGGATAAATTAAACTTAAGTTCACTGTAAATTAAAGAGTTAAATGCCCTAAAATGAGCCACTTAAATACAAAGTTTGGTTCTTAAACTTGCCCCACCTATCATCAGCTCAAAAATCTAAAAATTGCAGCCAGAAAACTCCTATGATATCCCCCCCCCGGTTGCATAATTATATTAGAAATGCATCTTTCATCTTTTACCTCAGAAACCTTTTTGTATCTCCTGTATCTCCCTCATCAGTCACCACTCATGGGTTAAAAGGAACCAGTATTTACATGGAAAGCTGTTTTCCTAGACAAATATTGGTACAAGTTTTATTTAATAGCTGACAATACTGTATTGGTAGCACACAGACTGGTTTTATGATTCTTCTGACTTCCCTACAATTTGGGATTCTTCCTTAGTCAGTATTTTGCCAAGCACTGCATCATAGTAAGGGCTGAAGACCATTCTGTTGTAGTTGACAAGACGAATGTACTTGGCAGCAATCTCCTCCAGCTCCCTCTGAATAGGGCCTAATCCTCCAGGAATGGCAGGCAATGATTTCTGGTGACTGGATGCAAGGTAATTCTCCAGAAACTTTTGAATTCGAGAATCTGGAAAAAAAATTGGTTTGGTTTGTTTTCAAAACAGACTGTGAATCAGAAACAGCTAACCTCATGTAAAATGAAACAAGCCTGAAAATGGTCAGCATCTTGGAAAGACAAGGTGGAAAGACAAGGTGGAAACAAGGTGGAAACAAGGTGCAAAGAGGAGCCTGCACACGCTCCAGCCCCCATTGCACAGCCAGGGAGAGCAGAGCACTCTCCAGACCCACCTATGAGCTTGCAGATGGAGTTATCTGGGCTGGCCACCGCCTGGATCTGTCCCTTCAGCACAGCCTCCCTCTCAGCTGAGAATGGGGTAAAGCCATGCTGGGAAAGGCAGCTGTTCACTTCAGCACACACCTTCTCACCCACGGTGGCCAGAGATTCCTTCAGGTTAAAGGAGCTAGAAAACATGAGGTACAGCATAACTGTATTAGTTACTCAGTGTTTTCCCACTTTTTAAAAATAAACCATTCAAGTAGAGTTGCCTTATTTATCAAATGTAGTGGAAAAGCATAATGTCAATTATAATACTATAATTATATATACATGAAAAATGAAGCTGAGATCTAAAGCAAGGAAGTAGGACATTCAAGACTTCAAGCCTGAACAATTCATACACATAAGAGCTGACTTTCTGCCTGAGGACAGCTGTGACTAAAACAAAACCCGTAGGTGTAGAGTAATCACTAAATCTGCAGGCAGCTCATTCACTGTGCCACACTCAGGTTTTTGGGGAGTCTAGCCCAAACTCCAAGCAGAGGCAGCTGCTGGCACTCTCCTGTACCAGCCTGGAACCATGAAAAACACTGAAAAAAGCAGCTTGTACAAATAACGAAAGAGCAAGCAAGAAAAGATAGTTCTGTGTGAGTAAGCTGAGAAAAGCTGTCAGCCTGGGCTCACAGAAAGCCCTCATCACCTCCTTTGCACTTCCTGCAGTCCCCAGCCAGAAAAATGCTTAACTGCTCATTCCCCAGGGTGACAGCAGAGCTGCTCCTGCCCCTGAGAGCAGGACCGTGCCATACTCACGGGAGATGCATTCCTGTCAGCAGCACCTTGACGATGGTTTTGATTTTCTCAGCGAATCCAGGCACATCGATGAGTGCTGGGCCTGCTGCACTGAACGTGACCAGCAGCACTGTCCCCACCACCAGGAGCTGCTCCAGCTCCAGCTGCATCTCCAGGAAGCGCGTCTGGTCCATGAGCACCGTCTGCAAGGAGGGAGGGAGCCAGCACAGCATGGAGTCAGACTGCAGGGCTGGGAGGGGACACTGCAGCAGCAGCAAAGGCACAGGGAACAGCAGGCCAGCACCAGGAGCACAATGAAAAGCATTGACTCCTCTTTTCCAGCTAAGCAGGTTTCAGCACTGAAAGACAAGCACCTATTAGAGCTGCCAGATGTCCCAGTCAGGGATCAATGGTTTAGTACTGTACGTGTTGCAAGGCTATAAATCCAAACAGCTTCTGCTGTGTCCTGGGAATAGAGGAGTGGAACAAGCACAGAACCAATTTTTTCTGTTAAATACCTACTTCTGGAAAAGGCCTGTTCATGTGATCCCACTTCAGGAGCTTCAGATAGGCCTGATTTTGTACAGCAGTGAAGCACAAGGCAGAAGCTCCACCAGTAGCACCATCACCACAGTGGGGAGGCAACATTTCATGTCCCAGCTTGGCAAGATCATCTGCTGCTTCTTGCAACCACTTTGTGACAAGGTCTAAAGAATCTGGAAGAGCAGGGGAAAAAATCCTGTTAAGAAAATTCCTTTTCAAAGTTAGGTTTTTCCACCAATAATTTCCAAACAATCCCGTTAGTTACTATGACTAATGCCCATGATATCAGGTATGACATGCATTTCATTTATTGCATCAAGCAGAACGTCTAAAACAAAACCACACAGCTACAGGAAATCAGAGGTGAGATGATGATGCTGGGTAATCATGCCCTACCCTGTATTGAAATTAAATTGAATGTACCACGGGCAGAGCTATTGTTCTGGCAGATTTTTTCTAACCATAGTTTTGGGGCACAAGCTGTCATTTACCATATGAATTCTAGAACTTATAAAAATATCTGAGCTCTTTTCATGATCTACAAGCAAAGACACACAGTTTACTGGGAGGTCAGAGGGGAAGAAAGAAAGGAACAAAGTCATACTTGGCTGTTTCTCAAGAAACTCCTGAAACTTCTTTCTTTCATATTCAGCAGACTGCTGCATTAATTTTGGCCTAATACTACTGACAGCGAAGTTTGCCATATCCATTTTCATTAGGTCTAATACAGAGAAAATTGCTCTAAACAAACAAACAGAAAAAGTTATTCAAGGTTGCAGATGTTTCAGAGGTGCTGTTTACAAGATTTATTACAGATTGTCTAAGGAAAGAGCAAAAAACATGCATGGGAAACAGTAACAGCTTAACAACTTCAGAGCATGAGACAGAGAAAGCTGAAGCAAGCATGTACATGCATGCATGTGCCTCTTCCAAGTAGGAAACAAATCTTGCTCTCCTGTAAAAAAGCCTCCATGGAATTAACTTCACTAGCTCCATAGATTTTATCTCCCAGGATGTGAAATATTGTACATGAAAAGATATCTGGGTTTCCAAGCTTGCATGCCATGGCTGTTGGCAACCTGGAAAAACTAACCTCAGTGGGAAGTGAATAATCAGACCCAAGGGGCAAAAAAGAAAAAACAAACAAATAAACACCAAAGAAAAACACCTTAATTTCAAAGCAACCTAATTCCTGCTGGCAATATTTCTGCCAAGTCAGTCCTGAACTCCTGGAACCTTTACAAATTAGAAAACAGCAAGGTTAATGAAGCTGCTCACAGCTATTGAGACCTTGAGCTGTTCCACTGAGAACTTGGTGGCAAAGCAGAAGCCTGGATGCTCCCAGATGTGGAACACACAGTCCCTTTAGAAACTGGCAGGGAATTACACAGGGAGTGGGGTAAAGACAGCTCAAACTGGGAGGAAGGGACAAACTGGTTGGAAACCAGTAATGCTTTTCCCCCAAGCTCCTGTGTGCTTTTTTCACCTTCTGCTGTTGACATTCAATTCTGATACAAATTGACTATTCATCTGCTACCTTAAAGCTCATTTGCATTTGACATTTAAGCAAATGTCCTTCAGTGACATGCAGGAGCCAGATAAATATACTCCAACTCACCAGATCAGAGATAGTCCTTGTTAATGACTCCTGCAGCATCTCTCCCCTTCATACCCACAGCTATGTCCTCTTCCCTATCACTCTTTTCTTTCTAGAGTTGCAAGCTGCCCCCTCAACCCCTAAAATTATTTAAGGGACTCTGAACGTGGCTAATAAACACATTTCAGTACCTGAAAAGAGGAACTATTTCATTAATATCTTTCAGTTTCTTAATGTCTTCATCTCGAGCTGGAGCACAGAGAGTCCCCATCATCCCAATAACAAATTTGACCAACTTAGAAATGTCAAGGGCCCCATTCTCTGCCTCCTGTTTTATCAAATCCAGGTCAAGAACTTCTGTAATCTGGCTTCTCAGTCTAGTATGACCAGGCAACAAGAAAGACAGAAGACTCTGAAATGGAAAGTTTTTAACAGTGCATTAGTTCTACATAATCAAAGACTGTAAGGATCAAAACAGCTACTGAACCACCTCCTACAGAATTATAGAATCCTAGAATTGTTTGGGTCAGAGAGACCTTAAAGATCACCTAGTTCCAAACCTCTGCCATGGGCAGGGTCACCTCCCACTAAACCAGTTTGCTTAATGCCCCATCCAACCTGGCCTTGAACACCACCAGGGATTCTTATCTAAACAACTAAATCGTTGAATTTTTTTTAATTTTTAACATTTCTTTAACTACCACTCACCAACTCCAAATGTGTCACCTCACACTGTGTGATAGTGAAGTTACTAAGAGGCAAATCCTTTGTGGCACAGATCATACTTCAGACTGCTGTGCTTGATTTTATCAGCCCAGTGTTGGAGCATCTCACTGATTCCATAACTAACATCAGTGCCATAACACGAGGGAAGCCTGGAATTATGGAACTGGTATTGCTTACCTGTTAATCACCTTACATGGTTTTGCATTTGGTTTTATATTCAAATTTCTCCTCTAGGATTATACAGCTTGTATATGTTCAAAGTAATGAAAAAGAACATGAGGATTTTTTATGAAAAGCCAAACTCCAACCACTTTTGCTCATTCGTATCAGTGCAGCTACTCAAATTTAATCATTTCCCTTCATATCACAACATCTTACCTCTTTAATTTCTCCCAATAGCTTAATTGCATGATCATATGTTGGAGGGTCATCCTTTAGCTGAGCTTCCAGACAATCCCAGAAAGCTTTATGTACAATATCTCTGACTTTCTTCTCTAAGCTGTGAATAGACATGTTAAAAAGAATGATACTGATCTCTGATATGATACCTTACAAAGATAATCTGCAGCTCCTGAAGCACAGCATGTAATAATATGAATATAATATAATATAATAATAACTATATGATGATTAACAGACATCCATCATTTAAAGTTAGAGAAGCAAGAAAAACTGGACACAGGGTTTTGAATGGCTTATGTCCTAATACAGAGTTACCCACGAGCAAAGGGGGCTACAAATTAAAATCCTTCAAAGTATTTATCACATGCTACATCTAGGTAACTGGAAGAAAACAAAAATGGCAAAAATTACATTTTGTCTTCAGAAGACCAGTGTTCACGTTCCTTTTAAAGGCCCCACTAAGTAAAATAAATTCAACTACATAAAATTCATTAGTAAATCTAACAGAAATTAAGTAACTTCCCTTACACAAAATCTTCTGTTTCACTACATAAGTATTGCACCTACTCTGAGATAAGGCCCAAATCAGTTTGTATAAAAAAACAAATTAATTCCACTGCTTCAGTGGAATTCAAAATACTGACAGTTCCTGTTCACACCAGGTGTAACTTCAACACTGGCCCCAGTGGGGACCAGTTCCTTGCATGGGATATGCACCCCTTCCCAAATCAAGCCAGGAGGCCGCCAGCCACACCTTGCTGTGTAAGAGAGAGGAACAGAACATGAAGGTTCCTCTGTTCTCCCTCTCCCCTCTCAGCAGGGCACACAATTACTCACAGAGAAGGAAAGGCTTCAAACCTGAAAGGAGCAAGGACTAACCTAATAAAACACAGGAATCTCTTCCTAAAATATCCCTAAAGTAACAGACAGAAAAGCTAAAATAATCAGTTTCATCTTACTCTCCCAGGCAGTGGAAGCTTAAAAATTGCTAAAAGCACTTCTTACATCTGCAGCCAGACTGGGGAACTGAGAAGGCTGTGGCCTCAGTCCTGGGGCAAGGGGACACAACAGAAACCACAGCACTCTGGGATTTGCACCACACATGTCCAATTAATCCAAGGGATTCACCTTTCACACACACACACACACCTAGGGAAGCAGAACTGCTCAGTTACCACCTTCTGCTTATATTCTTTCCCACCTCCTCCCACACACTGCCAGACAAGACACCAGCCAGAGCCTTTATCTGATCCCCCAGAGCTGCTCTGCAGTTCTACAAACACAACTTTATTTAGGTACCTATTTGGTACCAACCTTACCTGTGCTCTGGCAATTCAGCTGGTTTTATCTGGAAGTCTCCATTCACCACAATTTCATGTGCCAGTGCCATGTTAGTGACTCCCTTTGCTGTCTCCATGAGCTCTTCTATTGACACAGGCCGAGAGGGACTGGCTGCAACATCAATTACACTGTCAGACAGTTCTCAACAAAAGCCTGCAGAAAGAGTCTTTTGGACTCTTTCCAGCTTATTGACAGTACACAGGGTCAAATGACAGCATCAGATGAAGATTTTTCTCCTTTCCTTCCCTTCCTTTCCCATCTGGTGGATGACACAGGTTTGGAGTATTTAAAAAAACCAGGGAGTGGATCCCAGTTGATATTCTGGGCTCAGTATGTCACTTGCTTCTATGTAGCTCTTTTAAAAGCCATCACCAAACAAAACCCCCCCACACAAACCAATACTTCTTTAGGATGGCTTAATAGCATCTTGGCATCTTTCTCCATGCTGTAGGAAGAAATAATTACAAATAGCAGTATTTTCACCATACTACTTCCACAAGTATTGTGCAGATATTGCCATTTCATTTTTACAAGGAAGTGATTTCATCATTAAAGCAGTCAACAAACAATCACCATCACTGTTAAGCAGCAGCACACCAGTAGCTAATTATTCTCACTACTTCCAGTGCAAATGGCACTCCTCCAAACTCTTTTTTTCCCCCAGAGGCCATCACCCAAACAATAGAGGACAGCAGCAGCAGCAGTGGCAGCAGCAATCCTTAAGAGTTCTTCCCCTGGCAGGTATTTGGGACTGACCAGGACGGGCCAGCAGCCTCAAACTGGGCCCTGGGGTAGTGAAAGAGTTGGTGCCCTGATGGATCCATTCCATTTGTTCACTTCAGCTACAGTCAAGGCAAAGGAGCAACATACTGATCCCAACGTGAAAGAAACCAAGCAGGGATCTTCATAGGCTGGGCTCCTGGAGAAATGTTTCAGGCAAACTATTATGACCACCTCATTTGAGAATCCATGTTGATTGGACTTAAGTAATTACATAGAAAAGGTCTTTCAAAAGTAAGTGTCCATCACTTGTCTGCCATGCAGAGCTCTTCTGAGTTCATGCAGCTGGGTTCCAGTGTGCTCATTTTTCATTAATACCTTGCTTTGTTCATGTAGCCCTCCTAAATCCTTATTTTCTTCTGCTTGGAGCTTAATTTTGCACAGTGACTCTGGGAACACAGCAAGGATTGATATTCTGAGAAGAACCATCAGACAGCAAAGCTCACAGTGCTCTTGTCTGAGTGCCAAATGACTTCACTCCAGCAGTGGGGAGAGCTAAAACTCTTTCATTGGCCAAAGATTTCTCCTCAGTTACATCACTTCATTCTCATACCTGCTCCCTTACACGAGGGAAGGGCTTGAGACCAAACCACTTCTTTGTGGCACAGTGCAGTGCTAGACTGTGCCATGCTTTTTACTTCCACGTGTTCAGAGCCCCTCTCCATACAAACATCCCATTTCCTACCAGGCACCCAGCAAGGCACAGGAACAGAAACTCCCCCAGAACACCTCCTCTGAGTAGCACGACACTAAACACCACCTGAAACCTCAAGTTATAACAAACACAATTAAAAAATAAAAAGAATGCAACAAACAACATCTTACTGCTGAGCCACTCCCTACAAAAATTTAAAACTTTGAGCACTTCTGCTTCTTTGCATTGAATCCCTGGAGCCAGAAAACTTCCCCTTGGTTTTATCTACAGATTTGCCAGAAATATTGGCTCCCATATTTGCATTTGCACCTTCATGTTAAAAGTAGAATGGCAAAGAAAAATATGCCTTAGGAAAAATATGCAGTCCTGCTTACATGGAAGTAATATTAGTACTAAATATGCAACTTTCCATCCATCTTGTGAGGGGGCTGACAGGACATCCCTTTGTAGATAACAGCCCTTTCTGCCCTGCAGTAGGAACAGGGGCTGCAGCAATGCAGAAGGTTCAGCTGATAAGACCAACAGCAGAGTCAGTTTAGCTGGAGCACACCGGGGTGGTGTTTATCCATTCCAAGAGCACAAACACACCAGGATATTTAGGATATATGTGGCTCAGAGCAACATGGTCATTGTGTACAATTAAGGAAATGTACACACTGGGTGTACAATTAGGAAAACAAAAAGAAAATGGGGAGAAAAGTGTTACAGTTTCAAAGACATATCATCAAGAGTCACTCTGTATTTAACTGCAAGACAGTCAAACTTGCATAGAATGCTCTAAAACAGTAGGATTGACTCTAACAATTACAGAATTGACCATTTTTTTACTGTATTTCATAAAGCAGTTTTGCTTACACTTTGGTGTCTCATCTCTGTGTGACCCTGGAGCACTCTGTCGTATTCTTTTTCGGACAGACTGATCCGAGTTGTCCAAGTTCTCCTCCTGATCATCCTCCAAACCACTCAATTTTTCTTCACTTGAATTTAACTTGTCAGGATTCTGAGACATTTTCAGTTGGTTCTTTACAAAAAGAAAAAATATGGAAAAGGGAATGAATAAACGTTTTCTGACACGACTGAGTGGGTAAACATCACCAGGAGTCTTCTTGATTAAGAAAAAAAATTCAGAATGAAAGAATTCTTATGAGGAGTTATATGATGTCATCCCCCTAATGGCAGGGGACCTGGACTCGGTGACTCATTTCCCATCTTCCACAAAATGGGATGCTTTCAACACAGCACCATTTATTTAATCTGCAGTCCTAGTCAGTTCTCAAAAATCTCAAACTGTTCCCTTGCCATAATGATACAGAGGAGAGAAAAAGACATTGTTTTCTTTCCTAGCACTGCTTTCCTGCTTTTAAGAGAACCATGAAAAACACCTTCAGAACAATATTGCAAACATGTTTTACAAAAGATTATGAGACAACATCTCCTTACTACACAGCAATAAATCTTCCTGAACATAACATATTCCAACTGCTCACAACTTAAAAACTTCCCTCTCAGCCATCCAAAAGCATTAATAAGCAGCAAAAGAGCTACAGAGAAATTAATATAAAATTCTATTTCCATATTTTCATTACATCCAAGAGTCCTGATTTATGCATAAAATATCACAGTTGTTCGGGTTTTTCAATTAAGACAGTAAAGAAGAGTTATAGCAATTAAAATCCTGGTTTATTAGACATTACATATTAAAGGATATTTATATCATATTGCAGATACCTGCAGTGTACCCAAACTTATACTGAAGAAATTACCAGTAGAAAACCAAGTCTCACTGTTCCTTATCTTCACTTATTTCATTCTCAGATTTCCCTATAAAGAATCTAATTTCTGCATCCACCATTGAAAACTAATCATGTATGAAACTGCTGCTCAGGCTTTAATTTTACAGAAATCTCTTTGAGAGCATATGATGTCTCTAAATTAAATAACTTAGATGTTCTGTGAAGTGGGAGTCAGGAAGAGTCTGCTTTCAAAATGCAAGAAAGCTCCTGGAAAAACAACTTCCTCTTTCCCCTAGCATCCCACCATCCTCACTTTCACATTTTGAAATAAACCAAGTTCTCAGCAAGAAAGACACTCTCCAGAGGCACCCCACAGCTACTGAGAGAAAATACAGCATCAAAAACTTAGACTGAAGAGGATGCAGCAGAAGCAAGCAACAGTATAGAAATATAAAATGCAGCACTGAGATTTATTTTCATATAACAGCTGTAATAACTAAGCCTGCTCCACCAGTGCTTAAACTGATTGCACAATGTGATTCCTCAGGACAGATGGAAAGCTCAGGGCATGTAAGGAACAGTTTTGCTCTACAGCAATGACTCAGGATCATCATCTTGCTTGATGCATGAGAGACAACAGCCTGCAACACTTGCCCACAGCACTGTGTCATTTCTATTTTAGAAGAGAAAACAGCATGAAAAGCTTGGGATAAATGGCACAAGAGAACACCCCTGGCACACAGGCATCAGTACAGGTACTGTTAGACTCACTCCACCTCCAGATGGAGGATGAGGAGCTCTGTTAATAAAGGGGCTGAGAAAAAACATGCATAGCAACCATTGCAATATAAAATAGGACTGGTTAAAGAGAGAGAGAGAAATCTGTTGTTGAATTTGGCTAGGATAAAAGCATTATCATAAAGGCTTCCACATTCAATCCAGACTAGATGGTCGTTCTTGCCAACCATTCTCTTCCACACAGCATCCTTCTGAAGTCAAATGTGAACTACAAAGATGACTCAACCAAGCCCCACTTAAGTCTTTGATGCACACAACGCTTCCTAGTGCCTTGCAATCTCTCACTGCTCTTTATCCTCACTACCCTGAGAAAAGCACAGAAATATAACAAACCTCACTTACAGAGGGGAAACTGAGGTTTCAGTTCAGCCACTTGAGGACTCACAGAAGATAAATGACAAGGACAAGACTATCAGTCTGATGATTCCTACCCCCAGCTTTGCCCAGAAGGCCATCATTCCTACCAAGCAGACTACACCCTCAAGTGCTGCCTTCCATAAAATGGCAGCTCAAGAGCTACAGTCTCAAACCCAGCCCAAGTTTCATTTAATTACCATTTGTTTTAGAGAAATCCTATTTCAGCTATGTGGGCAGGTATTAGAACTCCTGGGCCATTCCACCAAATGACTGCTCAGCAGATGAGGTAAACAGGCACACTTGTTGGTTTAGTTGTTCAGTTTGCAATAGTCTGCTCTTTTCTCATGGATTACTGCTATTATTGCCAGAACACATCTAGAACGTATCCTCTTTCCACTGGGTAAACAAGCTTGACAATACCTCTTCCAGAAGCATGATCATCATCCCTCCTTTCACAGAAACAACTCTGACTCTTAATAGAGCGAAGTCTACTTCTTGGCACTTTCCTTGCATTTATTTTTAATGAAAACAGAAACGCAAGAGAAAAACGCAGCGAATTAAAATTTAAACAGAACATTTTCCACAGCTTCTTTTCATTACAGGTCCTCAAATCACGTGAAGCGCACCAGCACTAAATAAACTTTACCGTGCTATCCTGGAGCACACACACACACACACAGACACAGAGACACAAGGCTGGAGCAGCTGCTCCTCGCTCCGGCGCTGTCCCGCTGGATGAGGCAGCTCCTGGCAGCTCCCCTGGCCTGGGCCCCGACAAACACCCCGGGCTGCCTCTCCTCAGGCAGCGCTGCACTCTGCTCTTCCCTCTGCTCACCTGCCACATCACAACCTACTTTACCCTGTAACCCAACATCAGCCGCAGCCCGTCTCCCGTCCCTCTTCCACATTAAAAGGGATGCTGTGAAATCCCGCTGTTTCCCCTCGGCCGCCCGTTCAGTGTGAGGCCCTGCCAGGTCCATCACTACCGGGAGCACACAGGTTACGGTCCCCATCCCCACCGCTCCGGCCACACGCTCCCCTCGCAAGGCCCGGGACCTCCGGGGTTCAGCAATGAGCCCAACGGGAGGCTCTGGGTTGCTGGGCCGAACGGGGAGCGGGGGGGACGCGGTGCTGAGCTCGTCTGGCCGGGCCCGGAGCCGCCGCGGCGCCCGCTCGGCTCTGCCGGGCTCGGGCCCTGCCCGCCGCCCCCGGCCCCACCGCCGCCCTCCGCCCGCAGAGCAGCCGCCCCAGGCCAGGCCGCCCCGCCTTACCGCCCTCGGAGCAGCCGCCGCGGCCGCCGGCTCGGACGGGCCCGGCCCCTCCTGCGGCCGCGGAGCGGGGCTGGGCCGGCGCCGCAGCCCCAGCGCAGGGCGGGCCGCGGGGCGGGGCGAGCGTCTGGCCGCCCCCGCTGGCAGCGGGCGAGCCCCGGGCAGCGAGGCTGAGGGGATGAGGGGACTGAGGGGCCGCTGTGCCGACGCCGAGCGGGCACGAACGGCGCTGGGGCGGCCGAGAGAGGAGCAGGGCCCGGCCCCAACCAGAGGCCCCCGCAGGCCGCGCCCGGACAGCGATGGAGAGATCGGGGTCTGCCCCATCGCACAGCGCTGAGTCAGATTAAACCCCAGCAACCAGGGTCCTGGATTGTCCTTGCTAGCCTTAGGCACCTTAGACAGGCCACCGTGTCTCGGCCAGATCCTCCAGAGGGGAACGTGAGGTACTCTGAGAGGAGCTGGATCACCCTAAGAAGAGGAAGGAGCGTGCTGAGCCTGCCCCGTGCCCACCTTTGCTTCTGTGCAGCCCGAGCGCAGTGACACAGGGCACAGAGCTGGCACTCGGGCCTCCCTGCAGCACACCGTGCCCGCAGGCAGCAGCACCAATCTCATCCTCTTACCCGAGATGGTACAGCAGGCACGAGGGAGAAAGGGAAAAGGCTTCTGCTGAAGAGCAAACCAATCCAACTCCACCACGACTTGAGGATTTCCACCCCCACATTCTAAAGTATGAGCTAAGCCAATTTTTCTGAAGAAATGCATTTATAATAAAAATATATATAATAAAAACCTTCCAGTTAAAACTAAGAACTACTCTAAAGACTTATACTTCCCTGCTAGTTTTATTTTTAGAAAAAGCATTTTACATTTTGTCTTCCATCTTCCATCAAGATAGGGTAAAACATTGTTCTGCTGCACACCAAGTTCTTCAGCTCCATTACAGAGAAACACTCTGGCCCCTGGCAGCAGACACCAGTAATCACTGAAGCATTAGTTAGTGAGACCTAAGAGTCTGACACAGGATTGTGTTTTTTAAGAACAGCTCACCACATGTGACTGCAACAGCTACTACCACTTTGTAGTCACAATTCAATTAGCTTTTGTTCCTAAATAAAAGAACAGAGCTCAATACTTTAAATGGAAAATTTGGTTGGTTTTGTTTTTTTTAAAAAGCAGCTGTAATTAAGTTTTGGTGATATCATTCCAAAGATAACTCCACAAGAGCCAAAATTACATGTCTGATCATTTTCTATATACATATATATATATATGTATGATTGCAGTTGCCTGTGTTGCAAATCTTGGCATTTCCACCGTAGACCAGACACGGATAAGAAATGCCACAGGACAAGCCAAAGGCCCTCCACTCGCTCCAGCACTTTTCTAATTACAGCTGGTGCCATCAGTAAGAGTTACAGACAGAGCAGAACACTGCAGGGATGAAGATAACCAGCCACAGACAGAACATCCTGTGGCAACCAAAGCCAGACTGACTTAAAAATCCAGACTGACTTCATCATCCTAGGAGAGCCAATTCCTCAATAAGGTGTCATTTGAGCTTAAAACAGGACAGCACTTTGTCACACACACAGGTTAGTTAGCTGGCAACCCTGAAGCTGTACAAGGTCAAGTAGAACATGTTTTTCAGCTCTCTCCAGCACATGGCAAGTCAAAGATCGATGTTATTTTATAATCACATAACCCAATGCAAATTAGAAAAAAAAGTGTTCAGCATAAAATTCAGTGCAGGAGCAAAAGGTGGCAGAGATTTCATTCATGGTATCTTCCATCCCAGAGATTTTGATACCTGAATTGAGGGAGTCAACAGACTTGGCTCTTGGGGAGGAAAAGGAAGTATTATTTTGGTCCTATAGAAATTAAGACTGAGAAAAGCTAAACTATAAATACAGGTTAAACTCATGCACTGTAGGTTTTGGTAATTAATTGGATAAATTCCATCATTTTCCACAAAATAATTTTATTAGGCAGATACATGAATATAAAAGATTTACAAATATATTAGTGTTTTCATGGCTGGGGTATACAAAGTAATATTTGAAGTCTCACACACACATATTAGTAACTCTGTCTCCAAAATACTGCATAAAAATACTTGGATTACTACTATGAAACTGACCTAGCAGCCTCTTTCTCTCTTTGTCAGAGAGCTTTGAATCTTCATCAATAGCTTTCAATAGAGATAACAGCTCATCTTTCGTGGTCTTCTCTGTGTTGGATCGATACTCTCTTTCATCAAGTTTTTGGCAAAAGGTATAACCTGAAAGGAAAGGTGAGACATTCAGAGGATTATCACCACACTCCACCCACCCTCCAGATTCTACAGACTCACTCTCCTTTAGATCAAATCAGTCATTTTACAGCAAGGCTTTTTACATCACCCATTTCTCCTTTGGGGGCATGGCAAGATTACAGAGCTCAGGGTGAAGTGGTACCTGTTATCTTGCTGGGATCCTGGCCTTTCTGCAGAGCCAGCAGTTTATTGCTGACCATCTTGTGCAGTGCCCCTGGGATCTGGAACAGAGAGAGAGAACAATGCAACAGCAGCTCTCCATGAGCACACCAGATAAACAAAACCTGGCCATCTTCTAGCTCTTACCTTTAACACATCTCTCTGGTTGTCAACAAGGAACAAGATCAGGAGGTCAGTTTTCCCTCTGGATAAGTTTTTATTGTTGATAATAGCTTTAGAGAATGTCCTTTTCACAACCATCCTGTTGTCACTCTAAAGAACAAAAGAGGAAAGTTAGTCTCCCCCATTAAGAAGGGCATCACCTTTGTTCTTCTGAATCACTACTTTCCCTATAGTCACAAATTTAAACTACAAAGGTGTTTTCTGACCAGCACCTGAGATCTCTGAATTTCAGAAAGAGTAAAACAACTGTTAAGAATGCAGATTTACCTCCTTCTGTAGCTTCAGCTCAGAATGATGTGCTGCAACAGCCATGAAGTACAGCAGTCTCCTGAACTCCTCCCTGACTTGGCTGTCGAGGAGCTTCAAATAGAGCTGAACAGCTTCTAAAGATTGCTCCATCTTCCCATTCACTAGGGAGAGAAAAAGGTATCTATTGGCATATTCATTTATTTAAATGTAACCATAAACACCTAAATTAGCCACTGAAGAGATGCCCATCTCTCTAAACAGAACCGGCCAAACACAGCAATTCATTCTCACAAAAACTTCTCCCAGGCTGAGGAGAGCTGCTTGCACTCTCTGACAACATCCCACACCAGGCATTCAGCCTGCCATTAAAGCTCCCTTGTAATTAAGTTCAATTACAGCTCTGCCATCTTAAAGAGGATGTGAAATACCAAAAAAGGAAAATGGTTCTATTAAAAAAAAATTAATCACCTCTGCTTGTGGTAATCAAGATCTCACAAAAACTGAGGAATACGCCCTATATACATGGGCTAGTTTGATGAATTAATTGCAAATTAGTTTGCAAAGTTCTACAAAGTTTTAATTTGCCTTACTATGCAGAATAGCCATTTTAGGTTTGTGCATTGTTTAAATGAAGTAGGTTGTACTAATAGCCTTTATCATGGAGAGAGGAAGAATGGGATATAAATGCCAAGTATTCCAGTTAACATGGAAAAAGAAGAACAATCAAGGCAGAGAACTTATGAAAAACAAGGAGATCTGGGATAAAATGTTGAGAACTAAAACATCAAAAGCTTTCCAATGTGCTGTCCAAACAAAATTTAAGAAACATTTTTGTGTAAAAAAGTACAATGTGTAAAAAATTGTCAATGGGGTACCAAGCATCCACACAGCTTTCACACAGTGTTTAGCTCTTACAGCCTAAATATTTACCATTAGGCTATATTTCTATTTCATTTCCCATGGATATCTGACTTCCCTGGATACCAGCTAGTACCAAATTACAGCACTCTGGTTTCACAGCCATTCTGCATAGACCTGAACAACAATTACAGAACTGCATACAGTAGGAACCAAAATGTCAAAGAACAGTCTTTATGTCTAGAAATTTTAAAGAGCCCAATCATAAATAAAACCTCCAAACAAACAAAAAACAACAAGAAAACACTTGTAGAAGTCAGCTTTTAATCTTTTTTAAATCTTGGCTCCTAAGGTAAATACTCAATTTCTTGGTACATATTTCACATAAGCATTGGAACACAGAACACAGGTCTATTTTACTTACCTAATAGTTCTGCAATTCCTAAATGAATTTCAGATGCATGGCTTAAGAGTGGCTCCTTTTTTTGGCTGTAGTATCTACCAATGTTCTCAAACAGCAGCAGTTTCCAGGTATCTGCTTTGTCTGGCTGATCAGGCAGGTTCCTGCTAATATCCACCACCATATGATCAGGAAGATATTCCAGGCAATCAATTGCTGCCGAGAGCCACTCGTCTGTCCTGGAACACAGAGGGGTTTGGGATTGTAGCTTTAATTACAGATGCCCTTCAGAGCTGGCTGCAATGCCTTCCCCAGAGAGCAGGTAGACTGGTTCCTTCATCACAGTGAAAACTGCGTGTGTAGGCACCTAAACCCATTAGAAATTCACACACACGAGACACTGCACTGACACACTCGGGTAGATCATAGTCATAAGCCTCTTTGTTATGTATTTAATCAAGATGAAAAATTAGTAACCCACAAGTAAACAGTCACAAGCAGTAAAACCCAAAGTCAATCACGTCCTCTACTGTTAGATAAGGACACAATTATCACTAGATAAACAGAAACATGAACCTTGATCTAATTCAAACTGGTACAAGTTTTTCAGAGAATGTTTTTAACTCTGTGTACAGTTTCAAGCTCAGCATTCTTAGCTCTTTTAATACAGTGGGAGGAGCTAAGTTAGTTCCTCACAAGTGATGTCTCGAGGAAAAACTTTCATGACGATTATAAAACCTCTATTCTTCCCTCAATGCAGCACAAAATTTCCCCTCTGAATACCACCAACTACTGCCATTGCATTCAAAAACCATCCCAGTGTTCAGCAGACTTTCTCACAAAACAATTGTTATTTACCAGTTATTCCAGCCAAGTCCAACATGGAAAAAAGTGCTTGCTCACATCCCTTCTGCTACATTTCTACCCAAAGACCAACTGTGCTTCACATTCCCCTGAAAGCAGGCAGTTTTTCAGAGCTGCAGAGGACAGCAGTGATTACTCACTGCGAGTCACTGAAAGCCTTGAGGATCTCTCTGTCCAGGTAGTTACTTGTGATGACATATCCAGCTGCCTTCCTGGGCTGGGCGAGCTGAGGTCTGATCTCCTGGTGCTCAAGCAGAGACTCCAGGAGAGGGAGGTCCACCAGCTGCAGCAGGCGAGCAATTGTTTGTTCTTGCCACACTTCATTAATAACTGGGAAGGGTGGATACACAAAGCACACGGAGACTCAGCATGGGCAAAAACTGATCACAAGGAAGATAACTGCCCTTCCTCCCATCAGGCTTAACCTAACAGATTGATTTTACCAAAGTAGAGACTTGCACTAGCAAAGCATGTGGCTCTTATCGGCTTCGAGTGCCTTTTATCACCACAAAAGGCAAGAACTCCCCATTTGTTTAGTTAACTACAAGTGTGGGAGAACTGCTTTTTGGATTAGTCTGGAGTGCCTTACACTCTTTGTGCTCTAATTCACAAACAATCTTTGTTCTAGATAAGGGATGAAAAAAAAGTGCAACAGTGACACTCTCCTTATCACAGCTCCCTTGAATATTTCCGTATGATGAAACCACAGTTTCTAGGACACATTATCACTTTTAACCAAAGGAAAAAACGCATTAGATCACAGTTTAGTCTGAAAGACAAGCCATGAATTGTCAAGAATAGTTTCACACAATACTGAAGGAGCGCTGGATGTGCAGATACACAATTCACTTCTAGCAGACTATTTGCCCTGACTAAAACAAATACACAAGTACTGCAGGTAACTGAACATTATGAATATTTCTAACTCAAATCAAGCTCTGTACATTGGGTATTCTTCTCCACAAAAGTCAACACTGATTTATTTCAATCAAGAGATGCCGCCTCTTGTCTGATGAAATAAAAACGCAAAAGGCAAGCCTGCAACAAATACAACTTGCCTTTTCACGACCTGGTGTTCAAACCAAAATACTGTGAGTGTCAGTTTGCCTCTCTCTCCAACCTGAGGAGCACAAGTCTTCCCATTCCTACAGATGTACCTTCCTTCTCCCACAGACAAATGGCTGTGACTCTGTTTGGCTTACCTCGACGGGACAAGCTATCTGAGATGTTCAGTTGAGGGCTGCTTGCAGGCTTTAGACTTAGGTTTTCCCAAAGATCCTCCAAGCTTTCCGGTTTGAATGGAGTAGAGTGGAACAATGTGCTCTTCTCACATCTGAGTTTAAAAACAGTTGTATATATAACAATATATATGGATAACCAAATAAATCATGCAACCTACAGATATGGGTAACTGTCCCAAGACCGAAAATTTTCTCCTGTATAGATATTTACATAATCTGCCCCCTCGGCTCCCCTGCCTGACACTTCCTCTGTCCAAGTCACCCAGGAGCATGCATGATACCTTCAAAAATTGTTTGCATGTAACAGAACCACTTCAGCCACAAAATTACTCTTCCTCCAAGATGATTTCAATTCCCACAGCTTCCTTGTTTTAGGGCACTGTAAAATATTTTTGATGTCCACTACCTTTGACATGGATGTGACAATCTGCATGTATCGACAGATTTGTTCCTTTCACTAAATGAAGAAATGTAACCCGATGGATCTGTGCCCTGCCCAGAAGAAAAACACCTTCATCCTACACTAATAAAACAGGAATAATCCACTTTAATGACAGTTTGTTCAATATATTCTTACTTTAACAGCTCTTGTGATGAAAATATTTTTAAATACCACATATAATTAAAGTGGTTTTAATTTCTCATGAATTCTCTTTTGAAATAAAGACTTGGGACACTTTGCTTTAGGACAGAACAAGAGCTAGTGGAACAGAGGGGAGAAACAGGACAAAGGAAATATTTTCAATCTCTGCTTCTTTACTTTTCCATCAGGGTTGATGCACTCAAGTTCACATTTGCTACTCACATGAACATGTCAATCGAATAAGGCATTTCCATTTTGGGACAATACGATTTACAATTTTCAAAAGTGCCCATTGCTAAAACTACTGCATTAAATACATCCACTTAGTGTCTTGTAAGAATATGTTAGAGTAGGTGAAGTGATGAACACTTAAAGATTTTTAAGGGAAGTTATTTGGCAAAGTGGCATCTACACGTTCTGCTTTGTGCAGGTTTAGTTAGTACCAGGGTTTTCTTTGCCAACTCCTAAAGGGACAGGAAAACGAAACCTCACCATTGCACTTCCCTCTGGTTCTAGGATGGAGTGCAATAGCATAACAGCAGCACAGCCTGCTACCCTGCCTGGGAACAAGTCATACATGTATAAAGAAACAGCAAAAAAAAGAGCTAAACTGAAAGCGTAGTGAAGCGAAGATGATGAAAGGAGAAAACAATTTTTGCTTACAAGTTGCATGGATTACTGGTTTATGCCAGAGCTAGGTGTGCAGTGGCTGAAGATTGCCACTAGCCTGTTTGATGCATCTGAATTCCACTTGGTTATATTATATGATTTAGATCAGTACGTAAATGCACTTAATTTCTACCCTCTTACCTCCCTCCCCCAAGGCAAGGTGATAACAGACAGAGAAAACAAGTAACCACCTAGGCTGAGTGATTTACTCTCTTCAAATTGCTCTTTCCTACCAATCTTTACCCACAAACATCTATGCAGTGTCTATTTTTACCCTGCAAATATACAGTTTTCTTTTCTCTCCTCAAGAATACATACTTTCCTCTTGCAAAAAATCTCCTCTTCACCTCCATGTACTAACCTCTGTGGGGTACACTGCTGGTAATCTTTCTCAAGCTCTGGCTGGTTTGAGGCATTTGTGAATCTGTAGAGGCTGCTACTGCTGTCCTCGAACACGGAGCGTTTGTCTTTCCCAAAGACCCTGGTTGAGACAGCCTCGAACACTTTGCAATCCATCAGCGCTTGGCACACACGAACCACCTTAGCCCGGGAAATATCCACGTCCCCAAAATACTTGTTCTGCAGAAGATGGGCAAAGACAACATCCACTGCATCCGAGCCAATGAAGCAGTCGTGGTAACACTTCAGGTTCTGGCGGCGCTTCTTCACTTCCACTTGAGTTTGAAGAGCGCTGATAATGCTGCTCCAGACGAACGTGGCTCCAAACGGCTTCTGCGCCAAGCTAAAGCCTGAGAGCACACACAAAGACTGAATTCATGCTGCAGCCACACAGAATAGCTCCCTTTTTGGCTTCTAGCTTTCATCAACCTCGTCGGGATTTTAAAATCTTTGAGACTTCCACTTTGGCTTGGGTTGCCCAGGCATTAACGCTTTGTTACTTCCTCAGCGAGTCTGTCTGCTCTGCACCAGTCTCCCTCTCTCTCTTTGGTGGTTCCTCTCACTACACCAGCCTAAAGCTTTGCAACCAGGAGTTCCTGTTTTTTCAGCCTGTCACTTTGGCACCGTCCTCTTGTGTGTCCCTCAGTCACCTAATGGTTACCCTTGCAGAACCACTGCTAAGCACACAGGTCCCACAACCACGACCAGCTGTACGCACTCCTAACACCGAGCAACGCAGCCGGGCAGGGAGAGGGAAGCAGGGATGAAGAGACACATCAGAACCCTGTTTGCTACAGGACTGCGCATACACACAAGCGACCTAACATCAGTGCTTAGCACACCACTAACAAGTCCATGGATTCTCTTGGATGTCACTCACTCCACACTTATCCCTGCAGACAGCCCTTTGCCACCTCGGCTCCGGCAGAAACCTCAGCTCTGTGCACCCAGCGCCACTTCCGTGAGCCAATCCGTCTTGCCTCCCCCAGTGAAACCACTGAACTATTACTCATTTACCAGTCTGATTACAATAAAATGCCAGCAGCCAACAGTTTGACCTGAGGCTATACTCAGCCTCCACAAGGACTTAAAAACACACGAAATTTGCAGGTGGCACCTAACTGGGGAGAGCTGCAGCCACCAGAGAGGCTAGAATTAGAATGTTTTTCAGTAAGTCAGATGAATAATTTACTAAGAGTGAAAGCAGAGGAAGAAGGGAGAAATCAAAAGCTGAAGGACAAAATAAGGAAGGAGTTGGCAGCAATCCTGCAGAAAGCCAGCTGGGATTGTGACAGAGCTCAAACCAAATGAATTAACAGTGCGATGCAGTGTTTGAAAAAAACAACAACATGCAACTCCTTCTGGAACATATTACTGTGAGCGTTTTCCACAGAGATGCAGGAGGTGTTTTTTCTGCTCTGTTTAGTCTGAAGTGGCTTTAGTTAGAGAGTTATATTCCAATTTGGGGCAACAGTTTTCAGCTGATCCCCAGCTACAAGAAAACCCAGAAATTGGCGAATAAGCAAGGGGAAAAGGAAAGATAGAGGGGCAGTAAAGACTGGGAAGAGGGAGAAAAAGCAAGGAACACAATATCATTTGAACACACCAACACTCCAGAAAGACAATAACAGTTATCTTTCTGGAAAGATATACGTCAGAGGGGGGAAAAAAACCAAAACAATAAAAACAAAGCAGCTTTTTAATACACAGCATTGAACCAACAAAGGTAGAAGACTCCCAGAACCTCCAATTTCCAAAGCTTTAAAAGTACAAGACAGACAAGGTACACAATTGCTGATACTTTAACCACGACATTTCCAGGAAGGGACAACAAACACGAGCACAGAATTCGCTTCCAGCCCTACATTCCAATAGGCAGCTACGCTCTTTGGGAGGAAAGAGCCTCCAAACCCGACACCACCAAACATACAACAACGCTGGTTTCTGTCGCTAGAATAAATATCAACACATACCACCTGCAATGCTTTAACTACCGCTCACGGCTGTATCACCGCTTCCTTACACACACACAGAGACTCGGATCTTTTCTGAGGGAAGCGGTATTAATTGTGGCAATGAGACAACAAGTTTCCACAAAGTTAAGGTGCGCAAGGTAGGGAAAGAAAAGAAAACCAGTTCCCAGCGAGCGCCCTTTCATTGCGCACCTGCTCTCAACCCGCGCTGGGGACACGGGGCTGTGCAAGCCCTGGCACCCACCGGGCCCGCAGCTCCGCGGGCACGACAGGACAGGGACACGGGCAGGGACAGGGACACGGGCAGGGCAGGACAGGACAGGGACACGGGCAGGGCAGGACAGGGACACGGGCAGGGGTCCCGCGGATCAGAGCAGGACACGGGCAGGGGTCCCGCGGATCAGAGCAGGACACGGGCAGGGCACGGGTCCCACGGATCAGAGCAGGACACGGGCAGGGCACGGGTCCCACGGATCAGAGCAGGACACGGGCAGGGCACGGGTCCCACGGATCAGAGCAGGACACGGGCAGGGCACGGGTCCCACGGATCAGAGCAGGACACGGGCAGGGCACGGGTCCCACGGATCAGAGCAGGACACGGGCAGGGGTCCCGCGGATCAGAGCAGGACATGGACACGTGCAGGGCAGGGGTCCCGCGGATCCCCATCCCGAAGCTGCCGCTCCCATGGCGGAGCGGGCCCGCAGCCGGGACGGGGCCCCGGCGGAAGCGGCTCCCGGAGCGCGGCCAATTTTTGAACCTCGCGGAGCCCGGAAAGGCGCCGAGCGGAGCTGCCGCCGGCAGGACCCGCATCCCGCGGCGGGCACAGCCGCCCGTCCGTCCCGCCAATGCCGCTCTGCGGGCAGCCCGGCTCCTCCCGCTCCCATTCCCCGTCCCGCTGCCCCCGGTGCCGGTGCCCGGCGGTGCCCGGCCGTACCCGGCGGCCTGGCGGCGGGGCTGCAGACCGCGCTGAGGCTCAGAGCCGCCGCCTTCTCCCGCACCGTGGCCATGGCGAGCGCCGGCTCCGCGCGTCTGCCGCGCCGGGCGCGCCCGCGGCTCTCGGAGCTCGCGGGGGCGGAGCCGCCGCTCCCCCGCCCCTGGGCGGGCTGGGAGGGCAGAGACCGCCCGGCACGGCCCGACCCGCTGCCGGCTTGGCTTCCTTCCCTCAGCAGCCACCGAGTGATCGTCAGGCGTAGAAGGGACCTCTGGAGACCATCCAGTCTAATCGCCCCTGCCGAGGCCACCCGCAGCAGAGGATACAGGAACGCGCTCGGGTGGGTTTGGAATGTTCGTCCCAGTGCGCTGCCACCTTAAATGGAAATATATTCTTCATATTGAGGTGAAACTTCTGGTGTTTTTGTTCATGGCTAGTGCTCATCCTGTCGCTGGGCACCACTGAAAAGAGTCTGGCACCATCCTCTTGGCACCTGTCCTTGAGATGTTTATATCCACTGATGAGATCCCCTCCCAGTCTTCTCTTCTCCAGACTAACCAGTCCCAGCTCCTGCAGTCTCTCCCCTTAAGAGAGATGCTCCAGACCCCTCATGATCTTTGTGACCTTCCACAGGAACCTCTCTGGTAGTTCCATGTCCTTTTTGTACTGAGGAGCCGAGAACTGGACACGGTATTCCAGATTAGACTGTCAGTATCCGTAGGAAAGTGGCTGCTGTAGGAAGGGTGGAAATGCTGCCCAGAGCTGCTGCTACTCGAGGTCATGGTCCTGGATGGGGAGCTGTGCTCTGACACACAGACCAGAGCAGGTCCTGGATGGGGAGCTGTGCTCTGACACACAGACCAGGGCAGGTCCTGGATGGGGAACTGCTCTGACACAGGTGAGAGCAGCCCTGACACTTCCAGCAGCACTGGGAGCTTCAGCTGCATTCCTGGCAGGAGTGTCCCTGGTGACAGAGCACAGAATGCTGGATTTCACAGAATGCCAGGTGGGCCAGGCTGGAAGGGCCCACAGTGGAACACCAGCTCCAGCCTCCCTGCCCAAGCAGAGCCATCCCAGAGCACACAGCACAGGGCTGTGTCCAGATGGGTGTGGAATATCTCAGTGGGGAAATCCACAGCCTCTCTGGGCAATCTGTCCCCGTGTGTGATCACTGCAAGTGAAGAAGTTCCTCCTCAGGTTCAGGTGGAACTTCCTGTGGATCACTTTCTGCCCATTCTTGTCCCATTGCTTGGCACCACTGAAAAGTGCCTGGCTCCATCCTCTTGGCTTTAGATATTTATACACATGGATGAGATCCCTTCTCTGTTCTCTTCTCCAGGCTCAACAGGCCCAGCTCCCTCTGCCTTTCCTTGGAGCAGAGATTCTCCAGTTCCCCAATCACCCTCACTGCCCCCAGGTGGACCCACTCCAGGAGCTTCATGTCTCTCTTAAACAATTCTCTTTATTTCCTCCTTATCTACTGTGTCATTTAAAACCCCAGACTGGTCAGATCTATTTCTGTGGGTTAACCCGAGCACAGGCCTTGTCCTGAACATCTGAACACTGTCCCTGGCTGTTCCTGTGGGACACATGGCTTGGACAGCACGTGTGGTTGAAGTTTTCTTGTGATGTCTTCTATGAGCTGTTCATTATAGCAGCTGGCATTTCTCATTGCAATGAAATGAAATAATAAATTCTTTTTCAGAGTAATACATGTTTTTTCTACTCCCTGCAGCAAACTGCTGAGACATTCAACATAATTTTGTACTGTGTATAAAGTATAATTTTCTACTAAGAATCAAGTATTTTGATATTCTTACTCAATGGAAGTGTATTAGAGCAACATAAAATAATTAATGTTTTTTGGATTGATTTCCATAGGAAAGGACAAAGCCAAACTGATCTCCATGGTACACAGAATCAGAAGTATGTGCACATTAAAGACCAAATAATACAATGCTACAAGTGATTCAAAAATTCACTTTGAGTCATCACATTATTGAACTTTAGCCTGTTCTACATAAAATTCTGTGCTAGCAGGTGTAAATGCAGGATGTTTGCTGTCCACTGAAGCTCAGGGCAGCTCTTCTTTTATCCTTATTTGTCACATTTACAGGTAGGGCACTGCAGGTTTGTTCATTGTATGTAAATAAATAGGCAATGCACTTCATTGGAAGCAGTAAAAAATTATTACAACTAGGTACCATGTTTCATGGCCTGAGCAGTACAGTATTTGATAAAGGGAATTCTAAATGTGGAAGTTTTTGTGAAGTTTTTCAGATAAGGAAGTCTTATCTGGGCACAGAGAAAGGAAACTATTCAAGCTGTAACAAAATGCCAGCCTACAAAAATGAAAGTTCATCCTGTACCCTGAAGTGACTAACAGAGATTTATTTGTTGGGGAAAGAAGGGAAGATGGTTTTAAAAAAGTCCTGATTCATAGGTGCCAATAAGAACCCAATAA